CGTGAAAGTCAAAATCTTCATTTTTGATCCATATTTCTTCATTCTGGAGAGGAATAGAATACAGTATACAGCATAGGCGTCAAACTCCGGTCCTGGAGGGCCGCTGTCCTGCATGTTTTTCAAGTCTCCCTGTTGCAACACACCTGATTCAAATGAACAGGTCCAATGTCAGGCTTCAGCAGAGCTTGCTGATGATCTGATCATTTGAATCAGGTGTGTTGCAACAGGGAGACTTGGAAAACATGCAGGACAGCGGCCCTCCAGGACCGGTGTTTGACACCTGTGGCGTAGTGGTTCACCTGGCCCACTTCTGTGCAGGCAGCATGGATTCACTTACCCACTCAGAAGGTGTGACTATGAGTGCGAATGGTTGTTTGTCTACATGGTTAGACAGAATCCTTTAATGTGCAAATTTGAACAAACATGCAATTTTCTTTTTTGGGTTTTCATGAAAAATGCTAGCTTTGGAGATGCGACAAATCTGCCCAAAACCAGCATAACGTTTTAGTATTCAAGTATACTTGAATATGATCGAATAATCAAGTATTCATCTATTTTTGCTTTCTTAAAGAGAATTACTGAATACACAATACAGTTCGCTTAACACCCTGCCCTTTTTTTTCAGGGTGGGGGGGAATAAAGAACCATTTTTTTCCCTTAAATTGTGCATGTATTCATACACGTGCGGTTAACAGGACGGTCGCGGGAGGTTAGTTGCTTGAAAAGTACATCTTTGGTCAAAAGAGGTTGGGCACTTCTGATATACAGGATAAGCAGTATACAAAATGGATGGGTGGATGGATGGATTCCTCACCTTAGCATTCCTCTGAGAATTTGGTATTGATTTGGTGTTGACAAAACTACCATTTGATACTTTCCATGATAAAAAGCTCCCATTCCAGCTTCTGTCAAACTCAGTTTATTTAGTTCAGAGCCGGTGAATGTGGAAGCCAAATTTAGTGCAGATAGATATCATCTTTCTGAAATGATTTCCTTTCTTTTTGTAAGTAGCCATCTGAAGATTGTCCACTTGGGACAATAGTCAGATTATCAGTTACATTCGAACATTTCCTAGTTGGGGCAATGCAGCACAGTCGATTTGTGGTTCATAGGTGTGCTTCACAGATGAGAGCTTAAGTGCGTAAAAGTCAGAATGTACCCCGTCTGTCGCCCTAAGCTCACCCGCAACCCAAATGAGGGCAAGCGCTATTGGAAATGGGATGCAAGGATGTCATGTCGGGGCCATGAAAATATCCCCTGTGCCATTACCTCACCACCAGCGTGAACCAACCATTTCATCAATCTACCTCTCTTAATGATGCAGTAGAAATGGAAACTCATCAGACAAGCAAGGTTCCATCCATGGTGTGCCAGCTCCTTGAGTAGGGTCTCTTTTTGGATCAGCCTGTGGGAAACAGATCCTCAGTTACATGTTTTTAGATGACACTTGGCCGAGGCTTCTGTTGGTGCCAATGTTGTGAAAAGCTTTTGTTCTATATCACAAGCGGTTATTCTCGTCATCGTTGGCTTTGCCTGCCATCAACACCACCTCACTCCCACTGGATGTTTTTTGTTGTTTTTGTTTTTCTCGGTAAACAACTAATTGCTGTTACAGTCCTTGTACATTTCCAGAACTAATTGACCCATCTGTCGCTTTCCTAATTCAGCTCTTCGCCAGGCAGAACACAAGCTATGTGTCAAACTGCTTTGACTTGCTCCTACGTCATTACCAGATTTGTTTTCAGTTTCCCTCCACTTGTGGCTGGTTGCTGTGCAAACCACACGAGGACTTACTTATTTTGTCTTTTTACAAACATAAAATGAAATGTTTTGAAGACACATCTGAACACTAAATTACCTCTTTTTCGTCATTAAGGGAGAGCTGCATGTAATGATGACGAGACAAGCTCATTAAAAAAAGCACAGCGAGGATAGGGGGGAAAAAACATTTTTCAAAATGATAAGAGTGATGGATATGGTCATTATAATCCCACCATACTCTTATCTGCTTGACTTAATCACAACAAGCAAGCAAGGAAAATGCAAGTTGGCTGTGACTGAGCTGCTAGCGTCACACCAAGTGACAAGAGTTCCGAATTAGACTAAGAAGCCCAATGGACCGACTCGTGCTTTGCACATCAGCCGCAATGTTATCTTGACTGCTTTCGGAGCTCATTTAAACCATCCGTCCTCAAATGCAGCATTAAGCCTTAAATTTCTTTATTCCTCCTTGAGTGAGCACGCGCGCGCGCACACACACACACACACACACACACACACACACACACACACACACACACACACACACACACACACGTTTTACCCGTACACTATCTTCTTGTGTCTTTGTTCCCGATAGTGACACAAGAAGATTGATGATTTCCACAACAACAGATCAACATTAAATTGCAAACGCATCCCAGCATGGGGCCGGTTGTGGTTTTTTTGCTATTTGAGATAACAAAAACACAACGGTGACGTGCTTGCTTGATGATGCAGAGCGCTGCCTCAGCGAGAGTTGTGTTTGTGGCCCAAAGCCTCTTTGCTCAACTGTCACGTGAGCCAGCTTCCAGCCTCCTGTCTTCTCCGGATGCCTTTTTCATGCTCTGTTTACTTTCCTTCCATTTTTCTTTTTTTTTTTTTTTTTTGTGCTTCCAGCCTGTTTGTCACAGCTGATACTTCTCCTCAGACTGTCCCACCTCCTGCCAGTTTCACCTCTTCCAACTTTTCATTTCTTTTCTTTGGAGGCACATTAACTGAGGTTATCATTCAAACATGTCTCACACAGAGATGGAATGAATTTTTCATCACAGTGCCATTTTACAAATAAAAATATGTGGAGAGCTTCCCATTAATCCAAGTAAAATATCTAAAAGTGATGGCTCAGCTGTTTTTGTCATACCGCACGCCATGTGGTGAGTGCATCCAATAAATGGAACCGATCTCCACTTAACATCGATGTGTTTCCATTTGTCCACATCAGCAGCATTTTTGTTTGTGGAGGAAAGCGTTCCAATGCGAACGCTTCATGCTGTGTTTCGGGCTCATTAATAAAATAATGAAAAATGTCCACATTAGTGGCTATTTCATGGATGAGAGGGTAACTGTCAGGGGTGGAGCTGCGGAGAATCTTGCCATAATTAGCTCTGATTTCACTCCAGCTTCTCATCTCAGCTGGACAAACACACACACACACACACACACACACACGCGTCAAGTTTTATCATTTAGAATAAAAGAGCCGAGGAGCCCCAGTTGATTATGCACACTTTGAAGCACAAGAGTGGAAGAAGAGCTGCAAATAGCTTAGAGGGAGCCAGCAAACGGTTATGATGATGACAATGCAGCATGTGATCCCTCATAAATAAAATGTAGTGTGGAAGTATGCGACCCTAATGAATATTTGACTGTCTTTGTATGCGTTTCTTTTTTGCCTCTGGCTGCGTTAGGTGCTGGAGGTGGTGCGCTCCAACTACGACACCCTGACACTCAAACTGCAGGATGGTTTGGACCAGTTTGAGAGATACTCGGAGCAGCCCAAAGAAGCAGCTTTCTTTAAGGAGCTGGTAAGACGACCAAAGTTCACCTCACTTTTCCAGCCATCATTAATGCTTGTGTCGATTTGTTCTTGTGCTATGTCAAAATGACTGTTGCGAAAAAGATCATTACAACTATGGGGCTTCACACCTGGGACCGCTTTCAGACGTGCAGTTGCACCGGGATGAACACATCTGTGAATTTGGGGAGGTTTTGTCTATGGGAAAGCCCTTGAAATTGCGTTTTCTGTGGGTGGATCATTCAAGCAGGACAGCAAACTGATCAAATGGCGTTTAAAAGCTGACTTACAGGGCCTCTTTGTAACATAGTTGAGTTTATTTTTCAGCCACAAGCAATTTGCAACATCACTTAGCTGTGACTGCATTGACCAAGAGGTGTCCCGTGTGTGTCTTCAGGTGCGCTCCATCAGCCTGAATGTGAGGAAAAACGTGTCTTTGAACACCCTGAGTCAGGATGTGCTTCTCAAAGAGTTCTCCACCATCTCCTGAGAAGCTTTCCCATCTCTAGGCAATGTACGGGCGCACACGCTAACATCAACTTTGAACCTGTCCTCTTCATTCCTCTCGGACTATTGAAACCTCTTTCACAGGACGGTGCACTTTCTCACGGGTGGCTCTGCCATGTGTGTGGGTGCAAGCGCGGGTGTGGCTCCTTGACGAGCAAGCTGCAGTATTGGCTGGACTGTTAACTGGCATGAATGTTTGGATTCCAGATAGTTTGAGCAAGTATTTTTAAACCAGTGCTAGTGGCGCCCACCGTGATTGGGTGTGTCTAATTTATTTCTCCACTTTGCGCTTCATGTTCTGTATGTGTTCAATTACATTTCATGTATTTTCACTTGCCATGTTTTGCTGATGGAAGACAAGTAATGAAGTTGATGCGCTGGGGTAACCAAAAGGAAGCCATGACTAACTACTGTATATCTTGCCAGTCATTTCTAACTAAAGTTTAATGAAACTAAATATGGTGAGGGTTTTTTTCCCCTAAATAGATTTTTTTTTTCCACATGGTTTCATTTTTGCTTCAAGTCTGACAAATAAAAAGTATATAGACACGTACCTGTTTCTCTCACTTATTCACTGTCTGTAATTTATCATATGTTGTTCTTTCAATTTTCTTTGCTCAACGTTTGTATTTGTGCCTGTTTATTGTGGAAATAGACCAGGCTGTCTGCTCAGGTGGACACATTTTGTAAAATGTTCGTGTTTATCCAAATGATGCAAAGTCAACAAGTTTTAACTTCATTTTCTGTGCTCTGTTCAATGATAGATTTTACGACTTTATTTTTGCCCTTTCAGGCACACACCTTTGTCCAAATGTGGTCTCAATTGAATAAACTATTATATTCTGCAGACCTTGATATTGTATAGGAACTGATAAAAGGATTTATGTTTTGTACATGTTTATGGTCAGGCTGCGTGTGTAGTGGTTCACACGCCTGGCTTTACTAAAGGCAGCATGCAATCAGTTCCCACTATGTGACGGTGCAAGTGTGAATGGTTGTGTTTCCTGTGATGTACCGACCAATCGAAAGTGTAGTCTGCCTCTTGCCAAGCTAATCTGAGGGTAAATGAATGGATGGATGTGTTTAAGTGCATACCAGGTCAAATGTTTTACCATGACGATCCATTAATGCTGCTGAGTATTTGGAATGTAGCATTTAAGCATATCGGCTTTCTCATCAAATTTTCATTTAGATGAAGATTGCCTACTTTGTTTTTGCTGATCTTCCCCCCCAGATCACCTGTCCTTCATTTCACTGCATCTCTGTTTGCAACACACCAGACTAAACGCTTCTGAAGACATTTGGCACTACTGTACTGAATGTTTTAATTTGTTGGTATCATCCATGTAATGGTCAAGCTGTGAGTTTGCCCACTCATTTGTGCACATGTTGGACAGGAGGCTATTGTCATCTGAGAATTTTACACTGTGGCCGCCCTCTTGGGAAGACCTGCAGCTGTCTGCACAAATGATAAAGAGCCGAGGAGAAAGGAGAAAGCCCCATGGGGAAACTGGATTTGAGGTGATGGTATTGGACGTGTGACCATTCACATGCGCCTCCTGAATTCTGTCTGTTAGGAAGTTTCAACGCAACAATAAAAGCTGCTCTGGTAGATTCAAATCAAAGTATTGCATGTGAACTGGGTTTTCTCTTGTACTGCCCTTTATAACCCGTGTCTAAGATTAAAAAAAAAAAAATCTTGTCCTCCTGTGCACCTTTCCTAGCTTGAGTGGGTCTAATTTACTATCAGTTTAATTGACAATTCAATCTTGCAGTGTTTTTCTCAGGCTTTCCATTAATAGGCACCTTAAAACCGCTGCTTCGATTTCATTCCCTCCACCAACAGCAACAAAACTCACATTTTTTTTTTTTTTACAGCTTTAACAACTTCATTTGTTTTTCTGACTGTGTGATAGATGAAATATTTTTGTGTCATTTAAAGCGAAAGTGTGATGTTTCTTTGGAGAAGCACAATTAACTACTAAAATGGCATCAATGCTTTTTCCGCCACCCACCGGTCAACAATAGTAAAATAAATAAATGAATCGGGGATATAAATTTTTTTGCGATTTTTTTTGTGCGCTTCTGCCCTTATTTTTACTTTAGCACGTCATGTTTTAATAGTAATAATAAAAACAAGAAGAAGAAAAAATACAATATATGTAACACGACAGTACTAATATATTGTAATATCTGTTCCTTCTTTCCGCATCGAAGGGCATTACAATACAGTATTTTGTAACGTTTATGAAATAATGGTTCGGTTCAGCAACAGGTGGATTTTTTTCTGAAACGTCATTCCTATAAATGACAACACGTGGTAAAATCCACATTGTGCAAGCTTTTATTGGTGAAACTAAAAACAAACAAAACAATTGAAAATCTCTCACAAACCTGATGTGCTTCGAAAAAAAGAAAGCCATTTTTGATTAACATTAGCCTTTGACCAGTCTAGTGAACATTATGAATAAATACATTTCCTCCATTTGCCAGAAATCTTGATTGAGTCTTTTGATCATTTGAATTGGCTGACGTATCGAATGAAGCGACCAGAAGTGTACGGTATGGAACAAGATGCTCGGATAGAATAAATGAATCAAGTTTGTCTCACATCTGCATGCTCCCTCTCGTCCTCCTCCTACCCGGGTGGCATTCGCGTACCCGCGTGACCGGACGAGGCAAGCAAACAGTGTTTTGAAAGTTCGTGCGCAAAGAGGAGCAGATTGAATGAGCAAGGAGGGGGAGCGGGATCATCGACATAATCACGCTCCTCCGCGCTCGTCCATACTTTGCAGCCTTGGCGACGTTTGGGAGATGAACACACACGCAAATCGTGTGCAGGTCTTGCGGTTCCAACGGGTCCTGTAAAGTCGAGGGACAAGCATGAAATCCCGAAGTCAGGATCACAGCTTGTCGGAGTCCACGGAATTGGATCGATCTTACGACCCGCTCACAGGTATGCGAATCTCATCTCGCCACTTGCCACTTGTTCATGGTTTTGATCTCCACTCTCTTCGCTCCCAGAAACGGAGGGAGGAGGTTTAAAACTTGTACAAGCAAGGTACTTTAGTGTATTTTTCATGTACTTTTTTATTATATTAAATACGACTCAAATAGCTGCATTCTCATTTGACTTGACATACTTCAAACGTGATGCACAACAAGCAGTGTTTCTGAACCTTTTGTCGAGTCAAGGCACATATTTTACGGAAGAAACATCTAAAAACAAGTGAATACACCGGTCACTTATCTACCGCCCTTCTGTAATTCAGTGGAAAAGCATTTCATTGTCCTGCATGTCATTGTACATAGCTGGCATAGATAGCTTAACTAAGGAACGTTATTTGATGTAGATCAATAATTTTGGGACCAATTACACGAAGGTGGATAATTTAGGGTGCACTGAGTTCGAATGAATCACATTGATGATAAAATTGAAAATAAACTCATTTCTTTCATATGTGTGTCCATACTTTGGTGATGCAGTCAACATTACACTAAATAAACACTTTTGACAGTTTAAACTTTGAGTTATAAAGTTTGTGATGTTAACATTTGCGTTCTAATCTCATATTCAGACTTCCTATGTGGAGTTTGCTTGTTTTCTCTGAGCTTGTCTGGGATTTCTCCAAGTACAGTTCTCCCACTTCGAAACACGTTCCAATCACAAATAAGGTTAATTAACGAATCTAAATAGCTGTGACTGTGAGTGTGAAAAGGACGTTTGTCGAAATGTCCCCTGCAATTGACTGGTGACCAGATAGATGGATTGTATCAGATTGTGCAGGTGTACCCAAAGACATTCCCATTTGTGAAGCCTGCAAGAACATTTGATTCAGTCTGCGATTTTAAAAACAATAATCACCTCAAAAAAACTCCAATTTAAAAAAAAAATGGCCAAGAGAATGTTTAACTCAGACTAGTCCTGTAACTGAATGACAACCTGTCCAGGGTGGTGTCATCTGGAATAGGATATAAATAGTGCGGATAGACGGATGAATTTCGAGGAAACATTTGTATGTAACTGCGAAACTAATGGGTGTGTGATTAGGATGATAATGCAGCCATAACTCTGTGTTAACAGCATTAAAGAAGATATTGTATGGGCGATGTGGTCGTTTTTAATGAGCTCAAGTCTCTAAGTGAGCGTGTAGAGAGAGAGAAAGAGGAATCAAGCAAGAAGGGAGGCGCAGGCAAGAAATCAAGCGAACGTCTCCAGCACCTCTTGTCATCTCCAGCGATCTTCCTCAGTGTGTTTGGAGTGTAATTAGATCAGTGAGACGTTCTTCTCTCTCCTTCACCCCCCCCCCCTCCTTTTTTTAACATACTTGCAAAGACAAGCACACTAAATTATTCCTCTTAGATCATCCCAAAATAGACTTTGTCACCAAAAATAACCGAGTGCCTGCGCCGATACTAAATCTTTGAACATGAGTATGCACAGCTGGCTGGTTTACAGACTATTAGAATGAAGGTTTAATTTCATGTCAGTCGGTTACTTCTGCTGGTGTGATGGCCATTCAACGTTTGCTTAACCAAACAGTCAACAGGTGCATTCACACACAGGCTGCACTCCACAAGACACACAAACGGCCCTTTGTATGGATAGACGACAGCCTCCGCGACAGGGATTATAACAACACACTCGCTCATAAACACAATCAAGTGTGTTTACAACCTCACGTTGATGTGACCGACAAAACGCTTCATCAACGATTGTATTTTTTTTTTAAGGAGAATGAGAACCTTCCAAATTTTATTGAATCTTGTTTCATCCTTCTGTCTTGTGGCATAGTTTGGAAACCTGAACTTGTCCGGCCTCTGTAGTATTATCAAAACGACTGGAAAAATATCAGCAAGTCAGCAAGCTGGGCTACTGTCGACCTATAAGAGATACAGGTCCTGAGGAAGGCGAATGCTATTTGGAATAGTTCTAATCATCCACTCCAAAATGAGTTTGAGCTTCTGCCCTCGGGCTGTCGATTTAGGGTTCCGATGAGGAGGACAAAAAAGCTCCAGGTTTCATTTATCCCAAGTGCAATTTACAGTATTTACTTAATGGCAACGAGCCCCTAGGTTGCTCATGTTCTTTGTTATCATTGCTTGTTATCATTGCATGTTGGACTTTTTGCAATACCTGATAACAATTGTCTATTTATGGCATTAGCTCTGGACTGAATGTGTTCGCAATCATTTAGAGGTATGATGTCTCCTATAATTTTGCTGTTTTAAAAAAATATATTGCTTGAGTCTGGGTTTTAATTTTTAAATGATATTTTATGTTACAAGCCCAATTCCAATGAAATTGGCACGTTGAGTCAAACATGAATGAAAACAGAATACAATGATTTTCAAATCATGTAGAAACCTATATTTAAATGAATACATCCATAAGTGCAACTTAAAACTCTGCTATACAAGCACAAACCATTTATCAACAACATCCAGAAACTCCACCGGCTTTTCTGGGGCCGAGCTCATCTTAAATGGACTGATGCAAAAGTGGAAAAGTGTTCTGTGGTCTGATGAGTCCACATTTGTAATTGTTTTTGCCAAACCACATTCTGCACGTGTTTCAACAGCATGGCTTCATAGTTAAAAGACTGTGGGTACTAGACTTGCCTGCCTGCAGTCCAGACCTGTCTCCAATGGAAAATGTGTGGTGGGTGCATTATTAACATAAAATACAACACTGGGGATCCCGGATCACTGAACAGCTGAAGCTGTACATCAAGCAAGAATGGGAAAAAAATTACACCTACAAAGCTTCAACAATTTGTGTCCCCAGTTTACAATGTTTTGAATTTTGCTAGAAGAAAAAGTTATGTAACACAGTGGTAAACATGACCCTTACCAAGCTTTTTTGGAATGTTTACAGCCATAACATTCTAAGTTAATGATAATTTGCTCAAAGCAATAAAGTTCATCAGTGCAAACATTAAATATCTTGTCTTTGTAGTGTATATATATGTATCATTGTTCTTTCTACTTTTTATATCAAATGACTCATATTCATTATATATACTGCATTTCTTGAATACATTCAATAAGTTGTTCAGAATCCAGAACAAGAACAAACCATAGTATTACTATATTTTATAGGTACCAGTATGTAAAATTTATCTTCTTAACTTTGTTTTATGTAGTTTTTTTGTACTAATCTTTTAAATTTGTTTTTGAACTCGTCCAACGATTTACTCATTTTCAGATCCATCTCAAGCTTATTCCACAGATTAACTCCTATTACTGATACACACCTTTGCTTGATGTTTGTTCTTGTTCTGGATTTTTTGTATTGATTAATACCTCTTAGATTATAACAACTATCTCTGATTTCAAAAAACTTCTGGATATTTTGGCAAAGGAGATTGTTATGTGCTTTATACATTAATTGGGCAATTTTGAAGTCAACCAGGTCATAGAATTTCATTGTATTTGATTTGATGAATAGTGGATTTGTGGGTTCGATATATTTAGACCAATTGATTATTCTGATTGCTTTTTTCTGTAGTTTTAAGACAGGGAGTGTGTTTGATTTACAGGCGTTACCCCATATTTCCACACAGTAGGTCATATATGGGAGTAATAATGAGAAATATAATGTGTACAAGGAACTCATATTCAACACATCCTTAGTTTT